GGAGGAGAGAGAGAGAGAGAGAGAACAATTCTAAATTTAACTTTAAACCTAAAAAGTTCCTTTATTATTTGCATATTTTATATTCTCCTCAAAATTCATTTAAGAGAAGCTTAAAAACTATAAAAGTAATGAAAGTTACAATATCATACATAATGTCAAAAACTAACCTCTTTTGGGTCATGTTGCCACTGCCCATCAACCAAAAATTTATACTGGTGTTCACCTTCAGGCACATCCAAAATAAGTACAAAGTTGTCCTGACTGTAGATAGTTTTAAGATTAAAATTAAGTTTTCAATAACACATAGGTTAATGCATAAAAGGCACTATACAGTTACCTACAATCCAAAGAAAAACACAATATCTAGTGTCATACAAACTTGGCTCACAATCAAATTGACAAAAGATTAGTAATTTTCACTCTACAAACAATGTTTAGACACAAAATGAAGAGAACACCAAGTTTCGGGAGATGCTTATGAGTAGTGATTATTTATAATGTGTCTACATAATTCCTAGAGAGATAAATTATTTCAATCTCACTTTATATACATAAAAAGTAAAACTGAAAAATCTGATGGTTATGTAGTTTTGTTTTTCTTAAGAATTACCCAACTTGTGATTCAGGTTCCATTACATATAGATGAGGTAAAGGTTGCTTTTGGGGAGGGTTAGAATGAGAATGTTGGGATGATAAGGGTTATAAAATGGTTAAGGTTATAGATTTGAAGCTATGGCTGCTTACATTGAGAAATGAGATGACACAGGTTTATATAGTGCGAGGATTCTCTCATTAAATATAGTGATTTATAGTTATTTGCAGTGGGAAGCGTAGAAAGATTAGGATCAGAATTTGCTTGTACTTACAAATTTATAAAGAATTCTTTCAGAGGTGTAGGGATAGAAATAGATAATTGGTTCTTTTGAGTGTTCCCCCCACAGGCTAGATGTGGTTATGAGCTCCTTAACAAGATCCAAGGCTTACATGAAAGACTATTGGGGATATGATTATAGCAATGGATGGACTGGTTGCATAAGTTTTGGGATAAGGGTAAGTTACATCTTAAAGATAGGCTCCACTTAAGCAGGTTATATATATATATTAAAGAATAGTATTAGCTATTATTATTCTAATATTAGAAACAAAATGTGAATTAAGGGCTCTAGTTGAAATAGATAACAATAATATAATGGGAAAGTTCTGAAATCTGGTTAGATTTGAAAAATACTGAAATAGGAGTTATTTTGAAATACTGGTTTATAAGTTGTTTAATAGTGATAGACTTTTTAAGAGAGGGGGTGAAGTGGCTCTTTATATAAGGGATGAGCTACAGCCTGTTGGGACTGAAGACAAACAGTAGTCAACAGGTTGAATCTGTAAGGGTTACAATCATGGATTTCAAAAATAGAAAATCTTTTACTGACATTTGTTACAGGCCACTTGATCTAATGGGTGAGATCAATGAGGAATTGTATACTGAGATAAAGATTATTATCCATAAGAATAATCATTTGATACTTTTGGGAGATTTCAATTTTAAACACACAAACTGGGATTATATGGAGTCTGACAGAGACTGAAAGAAGTTTTACAGTTATCCCTTGTCATTCACAGTTTTGAGTATTCGTGGTACAGCCACAGTCCACCCCCAAAACTAGTGCCAGACTTGCATTGTGTTGCACTGTGCATCACACACTCTCATGCCATGCACCACAGAGTCCCACGTATTCTCAGTCTTTGTTCTACCACAGTGTATCTGTGCAAACCCTCTTAAATCCTCTGCTGCTGCTACCTCGCCTGCCAGCCCTGCCTCCTCATCTGTGAGCTAACCAGATGACTCCCCAAAGGAACACTAATCTACCATACCAAAAACATCATTATCATCATCAACTTCGTCATCTTCAATGTCACGGTCAATATCGTCACCATCTTCTACATCATCATTATTAAAAGCAAGTTAAGTAAAATGATTTTAGTTTAAGATACATTTATTTTACATTACTGTACTATATTTCTCTACTTGCTGTTTTAGTGTGTATTACTGCACATTGTTTCATATTATAAAATGTTGTTACTGTACATACTGAATTTCTGGTTTTAGCATTTGTGGTAATTTCCAGAACATATCCCCTGCAAATGGCAAATGATCAGAGAGCTAACCAGGGAGGGAATGCCTGTTTAGATTTGTTGTTAATCACTAATGAGAATACAGTTGAAGTAAGGAACATTTGGTACACGTTGAGACAAAACTAAAAAATTTTAGTTCCTAATTTTCAGAAAACAAATTTTAGGCCATGAGACTAGGTTTCTCATAAGCGAAATGGAATAAGGAGTTAAAAGGTGATAGGAGACAAGTTTAGGAACTTTTTTAAAATAAATTGTTTTAAATTCAGGATAGTCATGTTCCTAAAAAGAGAAAAAGGATAACAGGGAAGATAAACCAAACTGAATTACTAACAATATTAAGGAGAAAATCGTAGATAAATAAGTTTAAAAAATTGACAGAAAGGTTGGAAGATTTATAGAACTATACGAAAACAAGGGATTTGATTACAAAAAAAAAATAGGAAATCTAAAAACAGATGGCTGATAATATTAAAACTAACAGCAGGGACTTTAAGTGTGCTAAAAGTAAGCAAAATGTTAGAATGGAGATTAGACCCTTAATAGTTGCTGATGGCAAGGTGTTTGTTGTAGATTACGAGATGGGCAAAATCTTAAACATTTTTCTTTTCTGTTTTTAATTCTTCTGTTCTTATAAAAAATTATTATCGATATTGCTGATTCTGAGTATTCTATGGGAAATATTAGAATTGTCCTGAATCATAAAGATGTTAATTTCTTGAGAGTAAGTAAAAAGCTTGAGAGCTTAAAAACAGATAAATGAACAGGGCTGGGCAAGGTTTTACTAAGGGTTTTAAATGAGTTTAAAGGTCAGAATAAAAACCTCTTTCTGTAACTTTTATTACAGTAGGTCAATTGAAAATAGATGGATGTCAGAGGATTGCAGAGTTGTTAATGTTACTCTCATTTTTAAAAAGTGATATAAAAGTTACCCTTGAAATTCTAGATCAGTTAGTCTTACTTCTGTGCTAGTGGGGAAAATTGTAGTAAGTCTGATAAAAATAGCTTTATAAAACCATATAGTGAAATTTGATATCATAAATGAAACCGAACATTGATTCACCAAAAGGAAATCTTGCCTTACTAATAGATTATCTCTTTTTAAGGCAATGGAAAGGGTGTGGAATTGGTGTACTTACATTTTCCAAAAGCTTTCGATATTGTGTCACAAAAGAGAAACTAAGGAAGTTGTAGTTATGATAAAAATTTGGTTTTGGGGAAGTGGGAGAGAAGATATTTTAGAGGTAAGTGTCTGTGTGAAATTCATTTTAATTCTAAAACTGTGAAATACAATTCAGGTATGTTTACCTTTTAAATACTTAAAGCCAGAATACCCAAACTGTAAAAAAGGTGGGAACCACTGATTATGAAAAGAAACCAAAAATACATCACTACAAGACATAGGGCAAGAAGTTAATCTAGACTGAAAAAAAAAAAAATATATATATATATATATATAACCAAGCACAGATCCAGAACTAAAATAGTTCACAGAACATGATTTAAGAGAGAAAGAACAAGTACAGTGGACAAGTATTAAGAAAAAGTTGAACTAGAGGATACTCATGAAGAAGGGTACCTATTCACACATGACACCCTTTAATTCAGGAAAATTGGTCAGTTTTGTGAGGGTAATAGTACATTGAACCTGTGGAGTCAACAGATGGACAGAGATGGTGGTATAATCAGGTAACATGAATACTATGTTCTACTCCTGCAGTGGAAGGTTATCAGGGGGACAGTCCAGACATATTTCATGAAAGAATATACTCCACAGGCAGTGACCTCTCTTCATCAGTTTCAAAAGTAGCCAGTGTAACAGAAATAGGTTCAATACTGAAAATATATAACATACCTGAAATAAAAATGGATGAGACCAGCGGAGTTGTTGTCACCATTAGGGCAATCACTGTAGCAGACAAAGTCAGCTTTGCAGACACTGAAGGTCAATGAGGCATGAGCAAAAATACCAACCTTCATCAAAACAAATGAAAATGGCAAGTGTTATGCAGACTAAGCATCTACATGATCATTTTACCTGCCAGAAATATAAGTATACAACAGCACAAAGACACTGAAAAATCAGGGCAGACAATACAGCTACAACTCTACCCAGCATGTTAAAAACAACTTGTAAATAAGACCTCCAACTAAGTTATAGGAATTCCAGTAATAGCAGAAATAGTTACATCAGGAAGAAAGTTGTAGCAAAGTTAACAGCATGGCTGTCAACAAGAAAATCTTAATTATGGTGGGAAAGAAGAGCTTATATAAAATCCACTGATGTTTGTGCAACATATCACATGGAAGATGGAAGAATAGAAAATTAGGAGTAAGTGTTGCATGCTCTGTTATGTATAAAGAATATTTGGAAATCGATAGTCATGGGTTTTCTTGCCAGTATGATTTCAATCTCAACAAGGAAAGGCTTTCAGTATTTCACAAGTAAGTTTACCTGATTTGAATTCTTTTGTTTATCTTGATTTATTACATAAAGTAGTGAGTAAAAGTGTGATTCCCATATATCAATTAAGAAAATAACACGTGATGTTGGCATCTTAAAAGTGTTAGGCAGTTAACTGGAATAGGATGATATATGAATATCACAAACAAAGCATTTCACAGAATTAGGCTTTTTGATGATTAGCAAAAATATTTCATATAACAGTCAATAACATCGAAACAACTACAACAACTTTAGGTTTAAACTGACAAAGGTATTTGCTACATTAATTCAATGTGAAATAATTTGTAAGTTACCATTTCAACATCTGCTCATCCTACCTGTGTACCATTTTCAAGGGCTCCCACTGCGTAAAACTGCCACTGATATATACATCCTTGCCACCACCTTCCCACTTAAACACAGTTGGTAGTGCAGTTTCATTGATATTTGTGCTTGAAGTAATAGTGGATGCTCTTGGACGCATCTCCCCCTCCTACATGCACAGGAACATTTAAGGAACATTACAGCTGTTTCTACTATACTAATAATAAGAACACTTGTGTTTTGCTCCAATTCAACATCATCCTCAGCTGCATAAAATTTCTTTGCAGACCTACTGCTACATATTATTATGTTAGTCAAACAAAACTTATATGAAACAAACATTGTGTCTCCTTTAACAATAATTCACTACTACAAACAATTTTAGAAGATATATTACATGGGTATTAGACTTTAAATACATGGATATAAATATTAGTTATTAATGATTTAAATATTTTTATGCAATTTAAAAATGTTTATCACTCATATTTAAAAAAAAACAAAAAAAAAAAAACTTGTAATTGTATGAAAAGTTTTCTTGAAGGAATGTCAGCTTTCCACAGACATCAATATAAGCCGAGAAAATATTGTGTTTTGTTAATATCAATATCACTCATGAAAGGCACAAAACAGCATATAAATTGTACACTATGTGTGAAATAAACAGTGTTGTTTGCAAACCAATGAAACAAGATGATTTAACAAATATTTTTATTTGATGTCCCTCACCTTTAATGATAATGGAAAGTCATCACTATCTTCCAGAGAAGGTTGATACAAGAATTTGTTTTTCTTTCCAAATTCAAATGCTTTGTCTTCTCTACCTGGAGAAGATGGAGTACAATCAGTGTCTGATGAATATGCCCTGTCCCGCTTCCCAGATGCAGAGTTCCCCATTACTATATGCTTGAATACAAAGGACTGTTCAACTGGAACACAGGATGAAACATATAATGTGGAATCTAGAGAAATAAAAACAAATAATTATAAACAGTTACTGCCACAGGTTTCTAACATTGGATGGAAATACTGATATTCAAACAATGATCATAAGGTATCATAGGTCTTTTCCATTTTTTTAAACTTTCATTTGCTTTCAGTATGCCTTACACATATATATTTGAAAAGTTGTCATAATAAAAACAAATACACAGCATTCTTATGTATTATGGGGAATTATATCTTATTATTTTAGACCTTTTGTATTGCTTGGTATAGGTGGTTTTGGTATGATGTAGAGACAACATGCGATGCCTATAAATTTCCTGAACGTCTAGATTTCATATGGTGTTTAAAATTTTTGAGAGATTTGATGAAAATCTTGGGTATAAAAACATTAAAGTGCAGGAATTAGTTATTCAGTTGATTACTTAATCAGTGAAATATTCAGTAAGTCAGTTCACCGATGTAAATTTTGAATGTGTTTCAACGAAGTAAGGCATTATTAAGTGAGTGACTATTCATATTTATTAGTGAGTCAGGGTGTAGCTAGTAGAACTTGTACACTACAGTTAAATTAATAAATTGCTTTCATTATCATTAAGTGGATTGAACTTTGCATGATTTTTAACAAACAATCAACAAGAACCCATCCAGTGACAGCAGCCATTATAAAAGCATTGAAACAGAATTTAAAACTTTTGTGAAAATAATAAATTGCAGTAAAGTATAACTGAGTTAAAGTATTATTTTAATCATATCAACTGTACTTCTTCATGAAAATACAAAAACAAAATTCAACCTCATAATACTAGAGGAAAAGTGGAAATAATGATAATTGCAAAAAGTTGTGTGTGGTATGCAGACATAACACATATTTCTACTACTTTATTTAATATAAAAATGTTCAAAATTTCTGTAAACACTGAATATGTTATCTTAATCCTACATGCATAGGTGGGATGTCAAAGTGCACATGCTACTATCTTTTACAGAATGCCATTCAACATAGTATTATGTACTTGATGTCAAATTCATCAACTGTTAATTTTACCCTACACTGCTGATTTAGCAATAGTTTGTGGTAGAGGAAATATCAGACACCAAATATAGGGATAGTGAAAAATACTGTAGATATACATTTTAGAGATCCTAGCCAATTTGCAAATATAGTTGGAAAAAATATTTTTATTCTACACAGGAAGATGTGCACTTTGACTTATCAGAGTCTAAGTCAGACTGTTGTAATCAATTCACAATATATCTTGAATACAACTACTTTTGCAATACATCATATTTTTGTTTGCAACAGGCTTCTATATTTTACTAAATGTTTTCCACATTTTGTGTAGATACATGTAGTAAATTAGAACTACAGTAAACATTCCTTCTCCAAAATGAGGTAAAGGGAGCCACTAAGTTCCCTTTTCCCTAGGGAAGTGGGTCATTCAATTAATGTTAGATGAACTTTCTCATAGGAAAGATTCCAGGAAAGTTAAAAATACTAAGTAGAAATAGACAGTGATTTTTTTTTCCACTGGAAGGTCAGGTGATACCTTGATATTCTAACCTCCCTAAATAAGCAGTAAGAGTAACCATCAGTTACATGGGTAGTGCCTGCACACTGAGAATAATAGCATTATTGTTTCACAAATAGAATGCCATGTTTTCTCAATCTAGAATAAACTGTAAGATAAATTTGGATAACTGATTCAACACATTTCTTTTCTGAGAGCTCTTCAGTAAAGGTGTCCTAAAATACTCTTATCTAAACTTAGTTATTGAATTGAATAAAGATTGTTTCAACATGCTCCACACTGTGTCCAGGCTCTTTCTTTTCTTCGCACTCACTCAGTCAAAGTTAGAGAATTTGCTTCATAATACCTCTTTTGGTGGATCTCATATTATTTTGTGGAATGTACCAAGTTACTCTAAGGTAAATCAGTACACCTAAGAATATCGCCTGTGAAACAACAAAGATTGTATTGACATGACTGGATAGTATTTATACATTACTGAATATGCAAGGCATCTATAACTGAATCTTATGAACATAAAGTTTGGAATTCACTCTTCTATAAAATCATAAATAATACTCAACATTACACTGGTACACAATTAAAAACATTTTATTTAGGCCTATCTATGAGGAGGATGATGTTGTAACGTCAAAAC